TATATGTGTGTGAAAAACTCATAATTACTAATTACTGGTTACAAACTTAAAAAAAAAGTGACTGAAACTTATGAGGTACAATAAAAAACATCCATTACTGAAAGTGAAAAGGAATTTTAGTATACGAGCATCTAATATTAGATATTTAGTGATGCTATTTTCATGTAACTGTTTTTGTTGTTAGTCAAAGGAGCTAACCTTTGTTCCAACACACATTAAATCTTATTATCATAAATTCCTAAAAATCTTTACATAACAAGAAAATGTTTGGTACCAACATTGATTTACACAACTGTCATCCATAATTTTATACTTTGAAAATTACTCAGTCATTGATACAAACATGATAATACATTTTGAACATAAGGGTAGAGATGAGAAAATTTATGTCCTCAAACTATTTTTTAGATATAGTTTATGTAGTTATCTATCTATCCATCCGTAAATCTACCTATTTAATTAATACTTTATTATGTTGTGGTAATAGGATTCAGATTGGAGTTTTATTAAGTGGAATATTTGGGTGGATTCTAACTACTTTGTTGTGAATGGTGACTTGTAATCACTTGAGCCATTACCCCTTTCCTGAATTCTCACTTTGCTACTGCTGCCTACTTGTCTTTTATTCCATGATTTTGAAGAGTTATGGATTGCTCCAAAGCTTTTGACACAACTTGCAAGTATTTTCCTCTAAAGTTATTTTTTATTTTTTTTTACAATTCATATACCATTATTTTTTAATGCATATTCCTATTTCTAATGATATATATTAATGTAAAACCTAAGATAATTCATCAGATAAAAACTATATACACACACACACACATATATATATATATATATTTATGTTATCAGATTCAAAAATGGAAGATTTATAATATATCAAACAAACCATACTATTGATAAAAATAATTATAACTAGTAAAGATTTCTGTGCTATATTTAAAAACAGTAAGTATTATAAGGTTGTCTCACCCAACAGCATCATCAGCATACCCAGACTGGAAAAACTGCTTGGCTCCAAGTTCTTTCAGTCTTTTGTCAAGACTTTTACCACAGTTGCAGAAATTATTGTAGTTTGAATCTCCTAGAGCTTATAAAGATTTTTTTCGTTAGAGAAGAAAATGCTACAGTAAATTAGTCTCATAATTAATGCACATGTATAAGTTAGAAGTTAATTATATTTATATACAAATTCTAAAATTTATTGTAAAATATTAAAATCTCTAGAGTCATTTGATAATACAGTACAAAAAACAAATTCCAATAACAATTAGCTCTAAAATACACATACCCAACAAACTGTAATTCAAGTTACTCAGATAATCAGCTGGTAGGGTTCGTTTTTTGATACGACGAATAAATTTTTGGGCTTTATCGGGACATTCACCATCTCCTGTTGTTGAAATTACAAACACAGCACAGTGTTCCTTTCCACACAGAACTACACATACAAGAAAAATATGAAAGAAAAAAAAAGATTGTTTTTATTTTACTGCTAATTCATTGATGCACACTATCATCATACTTCAGTTATTAAATAAAGAAATTATTTACCATTAGGACAATTTAAAGCTGAAATCAGTCCATAAATTACCCTTTTGGATGGTGACAAGTAGAAAAAACTAATGAAATTCCTAAATCAGACATGAAGTAAATCCTCAGTCAAGCTCTGTTTATCTATTTACTTGTGTGCTGTAAAGAATCTAAAGTTTTATACATTTCGTATCAACCAGTTGCTGGATGTGGTATAGTAAATGGAGCAAATTTTGACTACAACCAAATTTTGAAGCACACGTGTTAAAAATAAAACAAGAAACAATGACTTTGAATACTGGTCAGGGCCTCAAGTTAAACAATAATTGGTTATCTGAGTAATAGTAACAACAACAACTGTTATGATATGAATGCCTTTTCCAAGCTAGTAAAGCATTACTATAATTATAAAAAAAAACATTAGTATTAGGCTTACTATATTGACCATTCCATCATCTCTGTCAGTGAGGTGAATCAAAAAGAGCAAAGGTTCTAACACTAAACTCTGAGGTACTCCACTTGTGACATTAATCCAGTTTAACTGAATTCTATTTCCAACAATCCTCTACTTTCTTCCATTTAGCTAGTTTCCTATCTAATGAGCCAACTTATGTGGCACCTTATCAATGCTTTCTTAAAATCCAGATGCACCAAATTCATGCCCTTCTCTCAACTACGTAATCAGTAACCCCTTCAAAGAATGTCAAAAAAAAAAAAGATCAGTAAGCCAAGATTTTCTCCTAGTAAAACCATGTTGATTATCCAACAAAATTTTACGATTTGTTAAATGACTTAGCAAAACATTTTTTATTATTGAAAAATCTTTCCCATCAGTAAGTTAAGACTAATATGCCTATAATTATTGGGACAAGTTTTATCATCTACCTTGATAAAGAGGTGTACCATTAACCAACTTCCAATCCTACGGCACTATTCATAACCAACTTCCAATGCTACACCACTACTCAAAACCTTGGAGAAAAACAGAAGCAAATATAAAGGGTGGGTTTAAACTTTTACTTTTCTCAAGGGCATTCAAGAGTGGCCTTAAAGTACAGAATGGTCCATTGTTGTTATTAGGGAGATCCACTTGTAGAAACAACCCTACATCTTCCTTAGTAAAAACCAATTTATCACTGTTTAACGAAAAAATAACACATACAGTAAGTTCTACTTAATACAACCAATTTTTAATGAATGAGCTAACATTTAGAAAATAACTTTCAAATATTAAGATAGCTAATATTTCACGGGTACATAAATTTAGAAAGGACCTATCAAAAATAATGATGTAAAACTAGAAAGATTTAATGTGATTACTGATAAAAGCTTCAAACTTATGATAATTGTTTAGCTCTGGTGAAAAGAAGTAAAGTTTTGTCACTTTTAGTAAATTTTAATTTAAGAGTAAGAAGGTTACTACTAAGTTTATGGTGAAGCATCATATGAACTTCCACCATATATAGTTTTGATTCCCTTGTTACACTTGCTTGCTCAGTTTGTTTGTTTTTTAAACAACTAGGAATGATGCATATTGTATGTTTAAAACTGTTATCAGCCCTAACAAACTGCCCATGGGAGTTATTTCTGAGTGGTGCAATGATAAAGTTGGATATAGGAACTTATACGTTATAGATAACACACTTTGGCCCCACTTTATTATTTATATCAATGATATTGATGAAAATGTCTATACCAGGTTTACAAAATTTGCAGATGATACCCAAAGCTTATCACAGAATAGCAACTGTAGCTGATGCAGCTTGTCTACAGGAAGAACTTCAGAATATGTTAAACTGATCAACTGAGTGGCAGTTTATTTACATTTGGGGTTCAACAATGAACAATACAACTATTTTCTAGGCAACAGTCTCATTGAATCTGTTAATGAAGACATAGGAGTGATTATCCATAAATCCCTTAGTATTAGAAATGTGCTAAAACTGCAAAAGCCACAAATCAGGTTTTACACAGGATTAAAAGAACTATTCAAAATAAGGAATATAATATGATGCTTAGGTTGTACAAACCACTTATCAGACCTCACCTAGAATACGGTCTCCAACTATGGTGTCCATATCTTCAAAAAGATGTAAATATATTTGAACAAGTTCAGAAGAGAATATCTAAGATGGTAATAGGTTATCATAATCTTTCTTATGAAAGGAGGTTACAGAAATAGAAAAGAATATCTAAGATGGTAATAGGTTATCATACTCTTTCTTATGAAAGGAGGTTACAGAAATAGAAGGGAATATCTAAGATGGTAATAGGTTATCATAATCTTTCTTATGAAAGGAGGTTACAGAAACAGAAGAGAATATCTAAGATGGTAATAGGTTATCATACTCTTTCTTATGAAAGGAGGTTACAGAAATAGAAGGGAATATCTAAGATGGTAATAGGCTATCATAATCTTTCTAATGAAAGGAAAGCTCCCTCTCTGTGTGTTATATGTCTTTAAAGGTGACATTTAAATGCATTTACACTGCTCACAGAAACTGCTTGAATTGGAAGATTATACCATACATCCACTACTCTTTGAGAGAAAAAGAACTCCTTAAATCCAATCTGGAACTCTGCTTATATATTTTATACTGATAGCCTCCAGTTATAGAATTATTAACTATAAAGAAATCTGTAGCATTTAATCCTTCAAGGCCTTTAAAAATTTTAAAGACCTCAATTAAATTGCTCCTTAAATGGTGGGTTTCAAGTGTAGTGAGGTATAATTTCTGTAACCATCTGAGCAAGCACACAACTGGCTTCCCACTCCTCGACACATGAGAAGAGTGGAGAACACAAGGTAAACAAGGAAATCAAGATTTGTTCTTAAGCAAAACTACTACTTTGTAAGTTCTAAAATGTTTCACTTGGCAGTGGAGTATGGGAAATCTGTCTCAAGGTACATTTTTTGCTATTTTCAATGATTTTACCTCTTGTGGACTTACAATTGTGCTGTTCTTGTTATATGATAACTTTTGACCATTCGCTATACAATCATGTGATTACTTTATAAAAATGTTCATTTACATTTTTTCTGGCTTGCATTTTGTTGGCCATTATTTACATTACAAGAAAAAGGAATTGAAATTTTCTTTGCCACTTACATTAGTTACAAGATTCTCCTCTACAAGTTGATTATGCCACAAAAGTGTCTGGTGTTTCAACTAGATAATATCCATAGCAAAAAAATCAAAGAATAAGTTCAAATTAAATAATGCATTAGCCAGAAATTACACAATAGTACATATGCATTGGTTACTAGCATTACAATGTCCCCTCCCCCCATAAATTTAAATGGACTTATTTTATCTTTTCTTGTCACTTTACAAAGTTCTATCATATATTTTTTGCTTTATTATTTGTCTTCTTTTAAGGATAAGTTAACAATGGTAACTTCATAACTCACTCTCCAACACAAAAACACAAAACAATTTTCTCTAAGAAAAGATCTCATTGAAAACTGCCTAAATAAACAAGTAGAAAGCTATAAATAGATATAGTGAGTTAACATGTTTCTTACAAAGCTCAAAACTCCTGACCCAACACAGTTTACAGGCACAAAATTTACAAATTAATATTCTAAAATCTGTCCGAAAGTTTGAAGTGACTAGTTTTCTCAAGTTTTTTTTTTATTATATAAAATATAAATCTAGCCACTTTTAATTATTTCTAGCTGACATAATCACCAAAATTTGAGGTTGAATAAAAATATCTTGCTTTTTCTTTGATACCCAGCAGCAATGTATATGCTTCTTGTTTGGATATTATGGGTTAAATCAACCTGGTAATGAGTATAGCTAATATAAAGTTTAGAATGCATTGTGCCATCAGTTAGGTCCCATCACAGTTAACCTTTTTTTACAGCTGTTGTCCCTATAATATCATACAAGGTTTAGGATAGCTTAGGAAATTTAGGTTAGTCCTAACTATATATATATATATAATAAAAGTAACACTAAAGAAATAGTATACCTCACTTAAGAAACAAACATTAGCTGTTAGCTTCAACAACTGTCATAAAATTAATTTTCTTTGAAAAATGTAACATCAGTATGACTACCTCAATTTCCCCAACTCTCCCTAACCACATCTTGTGACCAATGAAAACCCATTAAAAAACTCCATAAGTGTAACTTTGGAGGAGTGTGACATCTGAGATGAATTGCTTTGACATGCTACTGTTTAGACTGTGTCAAATCAAGTAATAGGAATTTACCAAGAGTATAGCCAAAATCTAGTTTATGATGATCCAAAATAATGGATAACAAATTTAAAGATTACCCAAATCATCAAATAAATATCTAGAATATTGGTTCTGTAATGAAAATATAACAATGTTATATATAACACAAATAAAACTATGTTAAACATACTATGAGGTATGTATATCTAACACAATTATTCCCACTTGAAGTTGGAACACTCAACAAACACATGGAACAGGCAATAAGAAGTAATATATAAAGTTAAATTTTCCATAAAAGCCAAAAAGAAAACATAAGCCTCTAGAATGTTCAACAATATTAATAACATTTAGAAAATTACAACATTTGTTAACATGGCAAAAAAAAAAAAGACAAAAACAAATGTAAATGAATTAATGATGTAATGTTATTCTATACAAGTGTAAAAAAATTTGAAACAGGAAATTAGGAACTAGGAATTGGAACACCAAAAGGTAAGGAAATAATGTAGGAATGGATGGGATAAAATTACAACATTTGGTGGTTTTTGACATGGTGCAACCTCAAAGTGGGTGTGGCCATCATTTTGTCCCTTCCTACTTTGTATCCTTTTTGTAATTGTTCAAGCTAAATGAAAGGTGTATATAGCTAAATTTCTCTATTATAAATTTTGTATCAGCAACCAAGTACATGTATGTAATCAAATTACATGACTCTAACAAAATGCATGACATCATAAGGGGGTGTTTCATGTCAAAAGTGAGACAGGAAGCTCCAACAGTCATACTTTGCTTATAGGAAACATTATAGTTATCTGACTGGTAAAGGGTGGTCCAAACAATAGAATCAAAACTGCTGATTTTTGAAGTTTTAAAATTTGTTGAGTATTTAGAAAGGATTAGTTATTAATAAAACTCAAATCAAGTCTATAACTAGATAAACGTTCAAAGTAAAACATGAAGAAGGAATTGTCGGAACAATAGCTGCATTGACTTTGAGATTGCATTGTGTGAAATAACACCAAGTGTTGTAATGTTACACCACCCATTCCGACCTTGTTTCCTCATTTTTTGGTTTTCCAATTCCTACTTCCTAATTTTTTATATTTAAGAATTTTTTACACTTGTTCCATAAAATTTTTTGGTACCAAGTCTCAAGAGTGACTATGCTCTAGGCCTATCCTTCTTGTACCTTTTCTTAGAGCTATCTCTTGATATTTCCAGGTTTTTGCTGATATCTTTGTTATAGTTTTTCTTCCATCTAGCTAGTGTGGCAGCCTTTTCTTGGCTGAATTAATGGCTAAGGCTTGTTTTGCATATTGAACATTACTGTTTCTAACGTTATCTCTATTCTTGCAATAATGCTCTCTTTGCTGGACAAAGAATGTTCATGGTTATCAACAAAAGATTTTCTCCTTTTCTCTAATTTTGTTTCCTTGAATGGCATATTTCAAAAATATCAGTTTCAAGTACAACATTAGATGTCAATAGGCCACACTTAGTTTGAAAACAATGCAAAGGTATATTATACAGCTTATTGTTTTGGTTTTCAGTCCAGAACTCTCAAGGAAAGCCGTGTTAGACTTCAGCAGTGGTAATCTTCATCCTCACGTAGAAGATTCACATCTTAAGTACCGACTGCTATGATAGAGTTGCTTTGTCCAACACTGAACCCTCGAGTCATATGTATAGAACTGAAAACTTCATTTAAAAGATTAGTTCACAGTTAGAACCTAGACCAAGAGAATCTGTATAGTCTAAGTTTTTATTATCTAGCTGATACAGCTACAGGCTGATCATGTAGCACATGCACATAAGCAATCGTGCACCTGCACATGATACGAGGGTGGATTGCTACTTGGCAACTCACAGAGCATGCTCATAATCACAGAATATGGCTAATAGTGTATTATTAGCTCATCAGTAGTATTGCAGAATGAAGATTATGTAATTAAATGTTATTACTAAAATTAAGAAAAACGCTTTTAGCCAAGGTAGCATAACTCAATCACGTGCATTTAAATTTGCATAAGGTGAAGGTAGGAGAGAGCTATGCCTTTCTAACAACATTGGTCAGTCAGATAGACTAAATTTGTTGGTTTTACTCTACTGACTTTCTCAAGTGCTTTGGTGGCTTGTTACTCTGCAGTTGGTTTGTAAAGTCTTAATAAAGTTTGTTTACGTGCTGTTTGCAATGTTTGAGATTTTAATTTGTATTGCATATATTACACATCTAGCCCATTCGTACTGCCGTACTTATGATAGAGAACTGTTATTTAGCTAGTATTAATAACAATATATAAAAATAGTTTAAACAAATGGGAGGTAAAACCATTGGCTTTAATACAGTAAAGCAGTTTCCCTAAACAATTTCTTCAAATAAATTAACATGTAGATGGGAAAGTTGTTAAAAGTTTATTATACTTTGTAAAACTTCTAAATCCATAATCCTTAGGAAGAATAATGTTGAATTTTACATATAACTGAATGAATTTTGTGTTACAATTTGCAATAAGAAACCTCATTTGTGAAAAATAAGAGTGAGTTTATAAGCTCTATTCACAAAACTCATAATAATCAGGAACAAATTTTATTGTATCTAATAAGATATGAGTAGTAAATGTAACATAACTTATTTGAAATATTAGTATTTGGAAATGCAAAGTTTAAAGTGTCCATTTTATTAAAAACTTTGAGCTTGAATTTTAGATTAATGATGTTGATATCTAAATTCAGATATGCTTTGTTTTAGTAAAAGTTTTTTTTTCTAGAGAGAGAGCTCCAGTAGATCCATTTGTTTGGATATATACAAAAAACCTTGCTTGTTAAGTATAAGAATATCATTAACATATCTAAGAGTGTGAGTGATGTGCAAAGCTTTTTTATCTT